GGAAGGAAAACCGCGGGAAGGAGGATGGAAAACTGCGGGAGGAAGGAAGGATGGAAAACCGCGGGAGGAAGGATGGAAAACTGCAGGAGGAAGGATGGAAAACCGCAGACGGACGGAAGGAAAACCGCAGGAGGAAGGATGGCAAACCGCGCCGCACTTTGTCGCTGGATGGAGACGGGGTTCGGCTGGTGAAGCTCCTCACCACCAGGAACAAAGTGCGCTGGGTTTTGGTTTCTCTTCTTTTACAGTCAGAATTACAGACAGGAGCTGATGGAGAACAGGGTTGATGACAGCATTAGTCTGGACAAAGGAAAAATACCAATAACTGTTAAAAAAACCCCTTCAAAGCCCCCCCCAAAAGAGTGGATCCCTTTTTACAGAAGATAACCCAAGTCATTGAGAAGCCATGAGAATCACAGTAACCGCTGCGCGGTCAGTCCCGGTCCCACCGGGACTGTGTGGCCGAGGGCCGCAGGCTCGTGGGGTTGGTTCCTCGCCCGCTCCCGCTCTGCCTTCTCCGGGATGGCTTTTCCAAATGAAATGTTTCACTGGGTCTGGAGATGTTTGGAGCGGAGATGCCAATGAGGCTAGCCTAGATACAGAGCCCGGGAAGTGTTATCTACACGGGGAAATCCGCTTCGCTTCAGCCAAGAAAATCAAAAGGAAATCAGCAGGAGCTGTGTTAGCAGGGGCACGGTTCTGCTGCGGGGTGAGAATGGCCATGGGAGAAGACCTTGGCCTTTGGCCATTGGGCAACCCAGGCTCCAAAGGCCATTGGGCCACCCAAGGTCCGAAAGCCACTGGGCAACCCTGTAACCCCAGTAAAGGCACTGCGCTGCAGGGGCGAGTGACCTGACCATGGGTGCTGCAGGTGTGTGGGACATGGGCACCCCTGAGCCGGTGGTATGGAGGAGCGTGGGCTCGGGGTGCACAGATGGGCACAGGATGGGGACCCCAGTGCTGCCTGGGGATGATGCCATCACCAGCACCCCGAGCCCACGATTATCTGGCTCTGCCATGGGTTCAGGGGACACGGGGAAGGTGCAGCGCTGGTGGGAGAGTGATGAAGCTGATGATGCTGGTGTAGGGTGAGCAGGTTGCGGCAGCCCCTGGCAGCCCCTGGGCAGTGTGGTTGGAAGTCGCCTTCTTTTGTGTGAAGCCTGACTGGGACGAGCCGTGGTGCCCCTCGGGAGCCGAGGGAACACGCAGTGTTTGCCAACACAGGTACGGCTGCAGCTGCTTGGTGGCGGAAGCTGGGGTGCACACGGGGCAACATAGCCGCTGACTCTGCCATGGCAGAGGGTGCATCCACCATTTCCAGCCCTTGCAAGGAGGATCGGGGCAGCAGAGGGGATCAGGGAGGGGGAAAAAGAGGAAGAGGAGGAGGAAGAGGAGGAAGAAGAGGAGGGCTCCTAAGAAATGGCAAGAAGGCGTCCAGCTTTCCTTGTCCCAGACCGAACTTTCTGCAGAAAAGTTGCACTCTGCAGACTTCTGACCTCTTGCAGTAAGAGGCGGGTGCAGGAGGGTCTCTCCTGTAGCCCCCAAAACAGCTGCTGAAGGGGCCAAGACCCTGGTTCACCCAGCGGGAGCCCGCTGGGCAGCCTGCACTCAGGCTTACACCATCACTTCCACCACCAGTGCTGCCGGGAGTGAGGGTCATGCTGAGGGGCCACGGTGGCTCCTCAGGGCAGCACCCAACAAAGCCTCCCACCATCCCAAGGGGACACGTGGGGCAGACAGGCTGTGGGGCTGCACCGGCACATGAGGACCTCCAGGGTGTCCAAGGGACACCAGGGTCTCTGAGGGCTGCTGGGGTCTCCGTTACCTGCAGGTAAGGTGGGGGAAGAGCCAGCAGTGTGATGGGAATGAGGCAGAGCAGTGAGGAGGTGACAGGCAGCTGTGGGACAAGCTGGCCGGGTGGGCAGGGGGTGAGTCATAGGCAGTGCAGAGGCTTGGTCCTTGGGCATGCAGAGCTGCAGCCAGAGTGGGGTCACCACAGGCTCTGCAAGCGTGCAGCAGCCATGGCCAAAGACAGGCAGGGATGCAGAGGAGCCAGATGCTGGCATCCTGGAATGTGCTGGTGCTGCTCTGCCAGGCAGGAGGCTGGAGAAGCTGCATCAGGCAGGAGAGCCGAGCTCTGGTGGCAGGGAACAAGTTGCAGGTTCAGTTCCTGGCCAGGGGATGTGAGAGCAGTGGCTGCAGAGGTGGCAGCGGCAGGCGAGCAGCAGCTGTGCTGGCGGCAGGGAGTTCCTGTGAGCCCGTGCAGGACCATGCCAAGAAGCCCTTGTGAGTGCAGAGTGCCTGGTGATGCCAAGCGCAGGCAAAGGAGCTGGAGCACTGGAGGGTGAGAAGTGGGTGCATGTGGCTGCGTGTCCTGCGGTGCATGTATCTGCGCATGCTGCTGCACATGCTGCTGGGCGCAGGCGAGGCATGCAGGGGCTGGTGGAGGGGATTCGAGGCGTGAAGGCACCAGGTACGGGGAGGATGGAGGTGGGAGCTGCGCAGGAGGGATGAAGGTGACAGCTATGAGGAAGGTGCATGGCAGGGCCTAGTGGGGTGCACGGTCGGCAGAGGGGTGATGAGCTGGGCAGGGAGGCGGAGGGGGCAGGACTGGGTCTGCCATGTCCTGCCCTGCTCTGGGTCACGCAGGGCAGTGGTGACACTGCCAGGCTGGGATGCAGTGGGCACAGCGGGTAAAGGGAGTGGAGGGGTTGGGCAGACACGGTGGCTGCTGTTGCCATTGGGGCGCCTCTTGGCTCACCGGGTGACGGGCCCTGAGGCCCGGCATGCCCTGGGGCATAGACTGGGGGCTGTTTGCTCGCCAGTCCAGATCGGAGCCCCTCTCACCCTCCCCAGGCTGCCAGATGGCAACTGGGGAGGTGGAGAGGCCCCGAACCCACAGGCCCGGTGGCTTCTGGAGAGTTCTGGATGGAGCCACTTGGGCACACACCCAGCAGGAGTTCAGGGAAAAGGTGATGGCACCAGAGCATTCCAGGATCCATCCCCGGGGGAGTCTGGTGCACTGGCACCAGTCAGGACCCATCCCAGGGAGGGCCTGGTGCACTGGAGGGGCTGCCACCCCCACCCTGGCCCTTTTCCCTGGCTGAAGGTTGTAAAGGTTTGGAGATGTGTGAGGGTCAGAAGGAACCTCCTTGTCCTTCCCTCTAGCACCAGAAGAGTTAATGCCTTTGTGGGGGACTCGGCTTTTTGGGAACACCAGTCACCAAGCCAAAGCCACCTGCTCCAGGGATGCCGAGGCGAGCCCTGGTCAGCCCTAGGAGATGACGCAGCGAGGAGGGGGCACCAGGCACCACACTGGGGACAGGGACACCGCTTCTGCCAGCGCTATGGCTGGACAGGGTCACCCTGGGTCCTTCAAGTACCTGGAAGACAGAGCGGCTCCTGCCGAACCCAGCCTGACCTGGTGCCCCCATGGCCATGGCACCACCGGCCCATGGTTCCTCCAGCCTGGCCCTTGGAGCCCTACAGCAGCTCTGGAGGAGCAGCCTCAGGGCACTGTGGTGACTGGGAGGACTGAGCATGCCGGTGGTGATGGCCAAGGGACCCGCTGCCACGCCTCTGCCTTGGCAGGGGTGAAAGACTCGGTGTGTCCCAAAAACCCGAGTTGGGTTTTGTGTTTCTGATTCATTAAAATCCCAAGTGTCCGGAAGGAGCTGCTGGGGGCTGTTTTTTTGTTTCTTTTCTTTTTTAAAAATACTTTTAACATTCATTCAGTCGCTAAAAACTGCCAGTGCCGCGGGCGCCCCGGGAAGGGGTGCGGGCACCGCTTCCCAGCATCTCAACACGGCTACAGATAGAGGTTAGGAAAACTATAACAAAATCAGGTGGCTCTAAGTATAGATATAGATATATAGATATTTGTTCTCTCTTTTCAAATATATAGCTGATTAAAAAGATGCAAAATAAGGATGACTAGGATGGAGTGGGAATCCTGTAGTTCAGTATCATCTCTTGTAGGTCATCAGCTGCTCTCTATATAACTGCATGGAGATTAAATATTATTCATCAACGTGTCCCCCTTGGAAACAAAGACCCCAAACCAAGAGGAAATAAAACATCTCCCTCCCCCCACCCCCCTACTTAAGGTTGGCAAAGCATATTCTGCTGGATTCCCCACCAGCCTCCCTCCGCCATCCCCAAACATGCTTCTATCCATGCGGTTTCAGTTCCCCTCTCAGCAGGGCGCCCGAGGGCAACCGGCAGAGCAGCAGCACAGAGTCCAGGGCTAGGGTCTCTTGGGTGGGAATCACTCCTTGGGCTGCTTCTGGCATGCCTTGGCACAGGAGGGAGCAGGTCTGGGTGTCACCGCAGGTGTCCACCCAGCCACCAAGACCTCTGCACAATGGAGCCCTTCCCATCAGCAGCACCAGTGGGATGATCCAGCTCAGCCAGATGCCTCAGACCCCAGAGGGGACTGGGGCCACCACTGCAGCCGTGGTGCCTCCGGCCTGCTCTGCTGAGCCTGCTAGCACCGCCTGCATCCTGCCCTGCTGTGCCAGCCTGGAGCAGCTCGGGGTCTCCATAGGCCACCCCGACCTGTCCAAGACATGGCCCAGCAGTGTGCACTGTGTACCCCAGTCTGCCTGTCACACCGGGCAATGCAGCCAGCACTAGGCCTCCACCAGAACCTTGTCCCTAAGCCAGGGCCTGGCTCCTCATGGCACCACCGGCCTGGCCCCACTGCCCACCCCAACTGGGTGCTGCCTGTTGGCCATGCGGAGCCTGGGCTCAGCAGCACACGGTGCCTCGGCCGCGCTGGCCACCAGCGATGCCCGCAGGGAAGAGCACATCAAGCGATATACAGGCCAGACTCTCTGGGAGGAACAGAAAGGAGGATGTATTTCATGCAACATTCCTTGTCCTGAAGGCGTCGCTGGGGCCGAGCGGGGGCTGGCGTGTGCGTGGCACACCGGGGCGGTGTGGGAGCGGGCGGGAGCCTGTCGGCTCCGCACCCTTCAGTGCAGTGCTCAGAGTAGAAAGAGAATCAAAGTGGGCTTTATTAGTCTAGTAGAAACACCCCCACCCCCCCGGTGGCTCTGGAAGAGGCCAGCGCTGCCGGGGACGGTCAGCTGTCTACAAGCTGCTTGAGTGCCCGCTCAATGTTCATCCGGTGCCCGACCCGGGTCACCCCCAACTCCACAAAGTCCTCCTTGGTGAGGGCAGGCAGGTGCGTGCCCTCTATTTCATGGTCCTCAAACTTGTCTCGGTGCTCCACCAAATTGATACTTTCCAGCCAGTCCCCGACGTCGTACTTGTTCCAGAGGTGGAGGGGTTTCTGCATGAAGGGCCGAGGTGGGTGCAGGGTGTGCAGGGGTGGCCCTGGCGAGGGGGACGGGGATGGGGAGCGGCTCCGGGCGCTCACACTCCTCACCACAAAGCGCACCTCCTTGGGCTCATGTGGGATGGAAAGGCTGGAAGATTTGAGGATGGTGGGAGGGGTCAGACCGTAGGGCCGGACGGTGCTGAGGGGCTCTGTCCGATCCAGAGCCGGCTTCACGGGGCTGGGGGTACGTCGGGTTACGGGGTAGCGACTGCCAGGTCGGACTGTGTAGGTGGTCCCGGAGCTCCGCTGGGAAATGGTGCTGAGTTCTCCTAAACTACTGAAAAGTCTGTAGAAAGAATGATACAGCGAGAGAGAGGAGAGAGCAGAGGGCAGGGGTGAGGCCGAGGTCCCGACACAGGAGCACACACAGAGTATACATGGGGCAGGGTGGGATGGGGGGGACGGGGGCTCTGCAGCACTCAGGGGACACAGCAAGGTGCACTCCAGCCAAGACGTCCTTGCCAGCCCTGCCAGGGCTCTTCTGGAGTGGGCAGAAGAGGTTCCAGCCAGCACCTCCAGTACCTCCAGTTCCTGGCCAAACCTGCCCTAACTGCCAAGGCTCCAGAGCCCATTGAGACCCACTGGGGAGGAGCGGGGCTGCATACAAACACTGCCTGCAGCCTCGGAACATGTACCTTGCTCTGCCCCTGCTGGGCAGCAAGAAGCTGTGGAGGAGCTGCACCAAAGCCCACTGGCCCCAGCTCCCACCAGGGGCCCCCATCTCCCCTCATGCTAATGCACCACCATCAGCATACTCAGGTCCTGTATCAAAACAGTACTGCTGAGCACACAGCCCCTTCCTGGGACAAGAGAGAACCTTCTGGCACATTCCCTGTGTCCAGCCTGCCCCTTGGTCTCTGGCTGTCAGCAGAACCCTAAAGAGGGATTGAACATCTTGGTGCAGGGTTGGTGTCTGCTCCCGTCTGGTCAGTTGTGGCTCCCCCATCCCTGGCAGTGTTCAAGGCCAGGTTGGACATGGGGTCTTGAGGCAACCTGCTCTAGTGGAAGGTGTCCCTGTCTGTGGCAGGGGCTTGGAACCAGATGAGCTTTAAGGTCCCTTCCAACCCAAACCAGTCTGTGATTTTATGGTAAGTAGGGAGGAAAGGGAGGAAGGCCCTGCTGCTTCACGGTTGTGCAAGCCCAAGAGGCATCACTGGGATTGGGCTGGTTCTCTCTTCACTAAACAGCCCACAACTGCTCATTTGGGTCAATCAATGTCACTCTGCTCATCCTCCAAACTAATCTATCAAACGCAAGTCCTGCAGCTCCCCGGCTCCAGGATGGGATGTCGGTTACCAAACACAAGGTCCCTTGGGCTGCCTGTATGGTAGCCTCATCAGTATCCTGGCTCCTCGCCACCCTCTAACTCTGCTCTCCCCGCTCAGGTCCTTCCTGGAATAGATGGACGCCCTGGAAACCTGCTGCTGGCAACAGAAGTCCAGGGCCTACAGTTAACAGCACATACCCGCTGTCAGGGATGCCACACCACACAAGATCCACACTTCTGGAGATGAGCAAGCACTCGTGGTTTTCAAGAGAGATGGCTCCCACAGGATGAGCTGAACATGAACATGAAGTTCTGTTTAGAGTCTGTGGGCTCAAGAGCACTTCCTCTTAATTATTTCCCTGCCACCCTGGCACAGAAAGCAAGCGGGTTACCAACTAGCATGACAGTGAATCGCATTTGGGAAGGGGAAGAGCTGAATGCCCTTGAGGGCTGTGGCTCAAGAACAGAACAAGAACTGGCAGTACAAGGTACAGATCAGAGGCTGGCAAAGGATCTTCTGGAAGAGGTGGAGAGAAAGCTCTGGGTCTGCTCATGGACCCCAAGAAGGGGTGGCTGGGAGGCACTAGCGTAGCCATGGAAGGGCAGAACAAACACTGCCAAATCTAAAGAGAGTTCCTTACAGATGTACGGATGCAATCCTATTGTCACAGGAGACACTGCTACACTTCATCTGAGCAGTTCTGGTCACTTATGGCAGAGAAAGGTCAATGGGAACAGGAATGGCTGCAGGCACAGCAGCTGGTGTGCCAAAGCCTTGTGGAACCTGTGCAGGGTGGGACAGGGGAGAAAGTGCTGTTGGAAACTGTGAAAGAAGAAGAGAGATGTGCCCAGGGGGTACCAAGACCAAGACCTACAGCAGTCTCACATGAGTGTGCTCCTCACCACAGGGTGGATGCTCAAAGGCTGTTGGCATCATGGGCCTTGTCAGCAGTGGAGATGGTTCCACAGAGACCCACATCTTGTGCAAACTGGGCTGCAGGGCCTCCCTTTTCGTTTTCGTTTGGTGGTTTACAGGGCCTGGAAATGGGCTATTCCTGCTCTTGGGAAATGGGGTGGCTGGAACCACATGTGAGAAATCAGCTTCCAGAGCTGAGTGTCCTCACAGTAATAAGGCAGAGATGTCACAGAAGACCCTTCTGGCCATGGTTGGTCAGTGGATGTAACCTGTAGGTCTGTTCTCCTCTGCTGAGCACTGGATTGGTCACTGTGGTGCGCAGCTGGCAAGGTACCACTGGCTCTCAACACCTTCAGCAGCGCAGTTCTGCCAACCATGTGTTATTCTGCAGACAGTCTCTGTGTCCTGTTCAGCTCTAGATGCTGACTTCATTATGGGCCATCAGCCCAATTAGTCAGACACAGGCACTTCATCCTGCTCGGAAGCCAGGTCAGTTTTTCTGGATGTGAACCCTTCTGAAGACTTGCACATTACGCACAGCAATGACATCTGCTTAGAGGGTTTTCCTGGATCACTGCTCTTCTTCATTGCAGGCTCACAGAACCACAGAATCCCAGGTTGAAGGGACCTCAAGGATCATCTGGTCCAACCTGGAAGAGGCAAAGCATGACCTAGGCCAGATGTCCCAGGTTAGCGTTGGTTTATCATGTACTTTGTCCAAGGAATGCACGCTGATGGAGACATGCACTAGCCGGCAGCAACCAAACTGAAGCCAAGTGCTGCTACCTCTCAGGATGTTTCTATTGAGGACTTAACCTTTGTCAGGTTTCCTAACACGGTGGTGTTGCCCACTTCTCCTTTAGGCAACATCAGGTCAGTGATGCTTAATAAGAAAATTAAGAGAAGAGAAGGCTCAGGGGAGACTTTTTAACAGTCTTCCAATACCTAAAGAGGCTGCAGGAAAGCTGGAGAGGGGCTTGGGACAAGGGCCTGTAGGGACAGGCCAAGGGGAATGGCTTGAACCTGCCCGAGGGGAGACTGAGCTGAGCTCTTAGGCAGAAGCTCTTCCCTGTGAGGGTGCTGAGGCGCTGGCACAGGGTGCCCAGAGAAGCTGTGGCTGCCCCATCCCTGGCAGTGCTCAAGGCCAGGTTGGACACAGGGGCTTGGAGCAAGCTGCTCCAGTGGAAGGGGTCCCTGCCCGTGGCAGGGGTTGGAACTGGAGGAGCTTTAAGGTCCCTCCCAACCCAAACCAGTCTGGGATTTTATGAAATGCTTCCTACATTTCCCACTTCTGGAGGTGCTCCAGCTGGGCCTCAGAAGACCAGTAACCCTGAGATAGTGGGATTGCTGGTTGCCACCACCTCTGTGAGTTGGGATGTGGCAGCTCTCATCACCACTGTAGGACTGCCTTTAAGCTTGTCTTCTCTGAGCACACAAAATCCAGGCTCTGGGAGCTCGGGGCCTCTTGCACAGAGTCTGGTCTTGCAGGGTGTCAGCACCAGCAGTAGGTCGGTTGACTGGATTGATTCTTCAGTGTATACAGGAAAATTACTCTCCTGAGACAGAGAAGCCAAGGCCTGACTTGTGCGCTACAGCACATGGGTGGAACTGACTGGAATCAGCAAAGGGGGAGAACAGGTTCCATGGGAAGCAGTCACACAAGCAAAGACACGCTAGCTTGATGTAAGTTCTAAGCAAAGAAAGAGATCTGTAGGGCAGCTAATTGAGCCTTCTGGGAACACTTTTACTGACAGGCTTAAAAAGCAGATTCCATGAAAGAGTCATTAATGGATAAGGATTTTTCCTTTGAACTTGTTCAGTCTGTCTTCAGGAGTAGCAAAGGCAAGGGCAGATCCAGCTACAGAGGGAACATGCTCCTCATCACTCCAAAGAGAAATGCTTTTGCTTTTGCTCAGTGAAGTCTTTTGGGCTCTTGGCTTCCAGGCGTGCTCATGCTGGCCTTCAAAAGCATCTCCATTGCTTTTCATTGGAAGTGTGTAAAGAACTCGTCTCCTGTTATGAACAACCATCGCCTGCTGATGAGTGAGACACGAGACTGCTCTTGAGGATCTCCACTAGAGCTTGGTGCGCCCAAAGGCTCCAGTGCAGAGCTTGGCCTATCTGTGACGAGGCTGTGCGTTAGGGATGGGCTGGGGACTGATCCTCTCTTTGCCTGAAATGCAGACGGACACTTGGAGGCTCCCTGCCTAGAACAGTGCATGCCCAGATGACATCACACCACTATAGTTCCCGTTTTGAGAGGATTCTGACTTCCAGAATTGCCTGAGAACTGTCCCTGAGAAGGAAGGACAGGGGAGAGGAGTGCAGAAAGAAGAGAAAGTCTCTGAACAGTGCACAGAACAAGATCAGAAGCACTCGTGCTATGTGTCACCCTGGACATTAACACAACTGCTAAACAGGACAAACTCACTGGCATGAGTTGAACGCTCTCACAGGCTGCTCTGCAAATGAGAACAGTGTCGGGGAAGCAGCTCCCATTTTTGCCCATGCCCTGGCACCCACTGACAGGTTCCATTCATATGAGTTCTCTCTTGTTGGCAGGCAGGTCCAGGGAGGGGACTGGATGAGCATTAAGGTCCCTTCCAACCTAAACCATTCCATGATACAATTCTGTCATTCTATGGGACTGATGGGCTGGTCTCCGGCAACATTGGCCAAACTGCTGCTCTTCTGTAAATGCTGAATTTTGGCAAGAAATCAGTTCCTGGCTCTCAGCTAAAGAACCCAATGAGAGGATAAGATTATCCCAACAAAGAGAGCCCACAGGGAGAGGGGTGCCCAGCAGTGCATGAGGCTTATCTGAAGAACTGCTGAGAACACAGGGTTTTGCTGAAGGTGGTCTAATTTCCTGCTGTCATTTGTTCCTCAGGGCTCTGCTTGTGCCGCCAGCACTTTCATTAGGGAAGATAAATCTGTCACTCCTCAGTTCTCCTCTTTCACAGTAGAAAAACAAAGGAAGGCTGCGAGGGAACAAGTGCAACCTGATGCAGACAAGTGGGGTTCATTGTACCCAATGTACTGTCCCTCCTGAAGGGAAGGCATTAACTCCACCACTGTTTGGAGGACTGATGAAGCTGAAGAA